GTCTGGGCTGGCTCCTGCGACATTCTGCGGTCCTAGCCACGCAGCCAGAAAGAATGTGCTGCCGGAGTGGTGGGTGCAGCAGTAGCAGGCAGGAAGGTAGGCAAGGAGCAAGCGAAGGGCGGTAGTGGCAGGTTTGGGGGGCGGGGGGAGGGCGTAGCAGCGGGCAGGAGTGCAATGCCAGGGCCGGTGGGGGCCCAGGGTGGGGTAGCAGAAGCGTGGAGCCCATGCTGGCAGGGGCCTTATGGAGCTCCGCCCTTCTCTTTGCCACAGCCCGGCCACATGCAGTCTTGGCGCTCGCCAGGACTGCACACTGCCAGGGGTCCCCACCTGCTGCAGGCCGTGAACACCCCAAGGTCTCACTGCCTGCTGATGATGTTGGTGGCAGGAGTTGTGCACAGTGAGGGAAAGGGGTGTGTGTTTGCACAGGGGGTCACACACACACTCTCCCACATCACCATATATACGCACCTACACCCCCTCACGCATCCCAGCCCCTCCCAAACCCCATACCCATCCACACACCCTCATACCTATCCACCACCCTACAAACCCCATGCCTCACATACCCGCACACTCTGTATCCACTCACCCATACCCTCCACACACCCCCAAAATACAAAAGTAAGATTTCATTTAAAGCTATTATGCAATCACCTCTATGTACACTATGCAAACACACAAATCAGGACAAAATATTAATGTATGTTGTAGTAGATGTTTGATTTTTAGACTATAATTTAGATTTTTTTTCCAGTTCCGAGGTAGTGCACCCCCTTGCCAAAAGGAGTACTTCTGGGGGCAAAGGGAGGGACTTCTGGTGGCAAAGGTCAGGGGTTAGGGGGCTGGACTTCTGGTTCCAAGTTGGCAACCAGGGGGTGGGGTACCTGTCAAGGGGCGGGGCTACCCTCATGGCCCTCAACAGCTTGCCAAAACTTGTTAAGCGGCCCTCCAGCTGAAGTAACGGCCTGCTGCTGTTCTAAACATTTTCCCATGAGAGGCAGTCTCTTTGCTGCAACTCTCCTGTCCTCCAAAACCCAAAATCTAGGTAGCTTAAACTTTAATATGGTTTGGTGGTGGTGTGCTGTAATGTGAAAAGACCTTGCTTACTGTGCCCGAAACTGCAAAACGATTTTCAGCATTTAAGTATCAGGTTTTGACTAGTCTAAACTAACCCACAGCTGAGTCTTTTTGGACAAGCTTTGGATCTTTTAAAGCTGTTTGAAATAAGGTCTCTCTTTTTTTTTAAGTGGCCTCTTTCCAGGCTGTTAATTATTGCTGCAAAGAACAGATTGTGGGAGATAAGCTGACTGTTATCTTCCTGTAGTATAGTGTATGTAAGCTGCAATGCTGCTGGGCTTTACTTATTTTATTAAAGTCTTGGCACTGTATCATGAAGAGTAAGATTGTTGTAGCCAAGGGAATAATCTCTCTTCTTTCACTTCCTCTAAATACAGACTTTCTTGGAGGGAGCAGTTTTATTGATCATTAGATTGGCGTTAAACATTTCTCCCTCTTTGAAGGTATTAAAAGCTCTATACAGATGTCTGCAGTGGTGTGCATATGTGTGAACTAGTCCTTTGGTCATGACTGTCATTGTATAGATCTTCATTTCAACACTGCATGCTCATGCTATCCAGCATAGAGGGGTCTTTTCAAGTATATTGAGGCAGTCATTCAGGACAGTGAAATGGAGGAATCGATCAAGTTAGATTAGCAACCTAATGAGCTATTATACATTGGCAGGTTGGTCAATAGTAGAGGCCCAGCAGTGTATTTGAGAAGAGGGCTTCCTTTGAAATCTACCCAGAGCCTTCCTGCAGAAGAAAGCTCTGTACTTTGGTTCTGCTACTTTCAATCTGGAGCTAGAATGACAGCACTTGCTGACTTACATTACAGCAATGGGCTGCCACTCTCTCTTTTCAACTTCAGGGGCCAAAAGAACCTTTTTGTGGTGATTACTGCTTGTCACATGATTATTTTGGCTGCTTCTGTGTTACTGTTGTCTGCTTTTCCTAGGTACTTCATGACTGCAGTTCTAAATTCTTAAAGCTAGTCTGATGTTTTTTGTACATCATCAGAAGGCCTCTAAGATAGATGGTTTGGGGTGGTGGGCTGTGGCAGCCAACTGGTCACTCCATTGGGCAGTCCAGGATACTTAAAGAAGACTACTACTTACACTGGCTCTCCCTTCTTATGTTTCTTATTGGATTTTTACAATCTGCTTGGTGGAACAATTTTTTCCTTACTCAGGAAATGCACACAAAGGAGAGATCTACTTTTCAGTGTCTCTCCTATGCATTTCTAGCATGAAACCCAGGGTATTTGAGTAGATATGGACTCCTTAACCTAGTAAGTGTTTGACTTAACTAGTAGATATAAAACTTAAATTTACAGCTTTGACATCCATATTTATCTCTGATTTCTTCTAGATGGGATGTAGTAGGGACTTGGGAGTATGAAAACAAACTTTTTTACTTAAAAATCTTCATGCAAGGAAACTAAATGTAAAAACCTGAACGTTAACTTTTACAATGGGAACTGGCATTTCCAGTAAACAATTGAATCCTTGTAAAACGTCTGATGGGGAGGGAAGGGGAGGGCAAAAAAGGGAAAAAGGAAATTAAAAAAAAAAAAGCAAGCTGGTTATTGTGCTACCTACCCTGATTCCCCTTCCTTCTCCCAATTGCCGCCTCACTGCCATTCATTGAAAGAGAGAGAATTGTGGTGTGCTAATTAGAGCAATAATTCATTTCTACTAGTTAAGTGCCCTTTGTTTCTAAAGCTAGTAGAACATAGGCAGGACCTCTGAGCTTGTGCAGCTTTTTAGGATGGGTTCTCTGGCAAGTTTTTGTGAGCTTTGTTGGAGTGATAGCATAAAGCCCTTTCAAATGCCAAAACCATAGAAGTTACTGTCAGCTGCAGAATCCCAGATACCCTGGTGATCACTGCACTTGGGTCTGTTCTATGTCAAGATAGACAACACTAGAAATAAGAGAGGAGTACAGACCCATGCAGAATGTGGCAGCTGAATATTGTACCATCCAGTTATGCTTTTTGCTTCTCTTGGATTATGGAAGTTTGATCATGCCAAAATTGGTGTTGTAACCTCAGAATGTGAGATCTGATCAGCTTGGTTTTGGAAAAAAAGCAAACCGTATGATAAAACCTTAAAGCAGCCTTGCTGTTCACTTCCTAAGTAGATACTTTTTCCATTTAGAAAACTAACATGGTGTTTGTAAAATTTATAAATAGCCACCCAAAATTTTGAAGCATCTTAATCTGATATGTGGACAAACAGGATTTTTCTCTTGAATTTGCTCTAGGAAGGGGCAGTTGTATACCATGTGCTTTGATTTTATTGTTCTACAGGGCGCTTCATCTGAGCAAGATGTGCTCGTATTTCATTTTATTGCTATTGTTAGTGGAAGTTGACGTATTGTAACTGATCAAATGAGATCAGGAGTCCCCTTGCACAGGTGGACAGTAGGTCACACCAAAAATCTGTGTTTTAATTTCTCAAAGAAGATTGAAGTGGGAAAGGAGACTTGCATACCTCTTTGTTTCTTCACTGGCTGCTTTGCCTAAGGAAAGTGTATTCTCCCTTCATATACTCTCTTTTTTTTTTAACTCTGGGATTTCATCTAACAGAAAATAATAGGAGTAACTATTCTGCAGTCCACAATGGTGGTTCATTTTAAGTTAAGCTTTTGGTGCTTGGTGAGTATCAATTCACTCACTCCTAAAGTCATCGAGGCATTGGGTTTACATCTGCCTGCCAGCAGGTGGAGCCTTGAGGACAGAGTTAATGTTCAAACTTGTTTATTGGTAATTGTTTCTCTGGTATGTCAGGAGGTAGAAAGTTTTCACCTGGTAGCACAGGTTTTCTTTTCAGCTGGGGGATGCTCCCATCAATGAGTAGTGTTTGGGGAGATAGAAGGTTGCTTAGATGTAGGGACCCTCTGTCTCCATTGGGATACCTGAGGGTATCATCACCATTTTGAAATCACGTGACATTTGTTTCATACATTAGTTCCTCTTTTCTTTTCCCATCCTTTCCCTCTGGAGGAAGGTTTAGCAGATGAAATCCAGGGAAGCAGAGATCTGGTCTTGCCTTTTCCTTCTTAGATTCAAGCCTACATGGCCAATTCTTCCTGCCCTCCCCTCCTATGTCCCTTTTATGAGGAATAGTCTCTTTTGGCAGTCTTCCACTATTCTTTAGCTTCTCTTTTCTAGTAAAGGTCCTGGTTGAAGTTTTTTTGAGGTATTTGTTGGAAACAGGGATAATCTTGCATTGGGAAACAAACTCTTGGGAAGCAGATGCAATTCAATATTGATAAGTGCAAAGTGATGCACATGGTGCAGAAATTAACTCAAAATATGCATACATAATGATCGGCTCTACAATAACTTACCACAGAAGGAGGAAATTTTGGAGTCTTTGTGGACAGTGCTAAAAACATCAGCACAGTGTTTAGTATGAAGCAAACGATGTTAGGAATTATTAAGAGAGGAATTGTAAACAAAACAAACTATCATTATGTCCCTCTATAAATCTGTGGTGCATCCACACCTTGAATAGTGTTGGTCCTTCACCTTGAAAAGGACATAGAAGACCTAGAAAAGATACTGAGAAAGGAAACACAGATGATTGGGGTATGGAGGGGCTTCCATATGAGAAGAGAGGATAAATTAGCTAGGACAGGGCTTTTCAACCTGTGGTCTGTGGGCCCCTGGGGGTCTGTGGGGTCCACGAAAGATGACTGTGATCAGTCAAAAGTATGTGAATACCCACACTTACAATTCGCAGGGCTCTGCATCTCCATTTGAATTTTTTTAGGCATCAGCAAATGAATAAAGGTTGAAAACCACTGGGCCCAGGACTCTGCAGCTTAGAAAAGAGGCACTTTTGGAGGGAGGAGGAGGGCAGCAGACATGACGGAGGCTTACAAATATTAAATGATGCAGAGAAAATAAATGGGGATTTATTTACTCTAAATAGTATAGCTAGGGAACATAAAATTAAACTGTCAGGTTTAAAATCAGCAAAAGAATTTTTTGTCACAACATGCAGCTAATTGGTGGAACTCTATTACCACAAGATGTTGTGGCGGCTGATGATTTAACTTGGTTCTAAAGGGGCTTAAGCTAATTAATGGAGGAAAAGTCATTCAATAGTCTTTGACAGTCATAGGTAGGGGTTCAGCCTCTTAATTGGAACTTCCTAACTTCTGAATGCTGGAAGCTACAATGGGAGAGGAGCAGGGGGTGGGTAATGGTTATCCCTGTTTACCCTCCTCAGCATCTGCTCTCTACTGCTATGTGGGTCAAGATACTGGGCTAAATGGACCTATTGTCTGACCCAGTAAACGGTAGTTCTTATGTAAGCTCAGAGGTGCTGCGGGTTCCTTGCTGTCTTGCCAGATGCAATTGCATGAGGATACATTTGATGCAGGTAGAATTCGTAAAGTTAACACTGTCATCTGGAAGCATTTCCTGGAAAAGGATGTACTGGAACTAAGAGCTCTCTTCTTATACCTAGGAAATTCTAAGTCCCAGGATCATCCCAGGAAAGGTAAAATATAAACTAACAAGAAATAACGACTATAAACAAAGTTAAGCAAGCAAGAAGTTGATGATCCTTTCCTAAGAACCTAACAGCCTAAACCTGTCCAGATGTTGTGCACAGAATGAGATGGTTTTGATTTAAAAAAAAAAAAAGAGGGAATTTGAAACCGCTCTTGGACTGGCATAGTTTTCCTTCATAAACTTGGGTATAGGAGCAGATAGTTGGAAACAATACCATCTTCGCTACGAAGTTCATTCACTGTTCATATTTGGAGGAGTGACATGGGGTAGTGCTCCCTGTCTAGATCTGAAAACAGCCCAGCATTGCTGCTCCTGCTGCTCAGAGCTTTGTGACAAGAAACCAGAGTCTCCTTACTGCTCTTTAGCCAGAAATGAAGATGGTAAGAATTGGATCAGTTTAATTCTACTGTTACTGATGCTCAGGTTTCTAAAAAAGCAAACAAGACCTGTAGGTATTTACTGGGAAGAAATCAAGAACAGAAGCTGAAAGAGGACTGGAGTGGCAGCCAGGAGGCTGAAGGGGAGGGATAAATTGACTAAAGTAGGCATTTTATAACAGCTGAGAGACTTGTTGATGGATACCTCTTTCTCTGAGAAGAGGGCTTCAAGTTGTGCTTTGAATCTGTGCCCCCCTCCTGTGTGTTCACCCCTGTGAACTAGGATGATGCAAAAGACAGAGACCATGAACACTTTGGTAAGAATCTTTTTTACTTTTCCAGCAAGTTGGGGAGGAAGGAGAGTGTTATGGGGGTTTTGTGAGTAGGTAAAGAGGAGAAATTTACCCAAATCAAATCTTTCTTATTGGCCTGTGATTCAGAACTAGTCTTCTGAATACTAGGTGTTGGGAATTTTCCCAGAGAAGATATTTGTGAGGGAGAGAGACATAAAATGTTTCTTTAAAATAAGAGGAACAGTTGAGTTTGTATAGGGGGTGGGGGGGAGGGTATTTTAGCAAATTCCAAAGTGGTTATAGTCTCATTTTGCCTTAAGATGAAGGTAGCCAGAAAGCTACTCAAACAATTGCCAGAAATAAGTTGATAATTTAAGTGCACAACAACTGCACCACATGGACTGGCAGCTCCCTGTGTGGATTTCTTACACTGTTGCACCACTTGGGTGCAACAGCCTCCATCCCACACCTTGTGTGCGGGAAGTCTCCACCTCTGCGCTCTCGCTACACCTGACTCTCTGTGGCCAGGGTGGGCAATTATTTGAGCTTGTGGGCCATATGGGTTGTTTTGGGGAGCTGTTGTGGGCCAGGTCAGCACCCGCTGCTCCCCCTTTCCCCCCTTCCACCCCTCCACCACAGCTTACCAAACCTTCCTATGTGGGATGGGGCCATGGTTGGGCAGGGAGCTAGCGCAGGTGGGTGGCAGCTTTAGCAGGGAGCCAGGGCCCCTACTGCCACTGCCACTTCCAGGCTGCCCTTCTACCCCAAAGAGGGGCTGGAGCTGCTGCCTGGCTTCAGTGGCTTGGGCACAGCGGTGGCAGCAGCAGTCGGACAGACATTGCTGCTGGGCATTAGGAAAAAGTGAGACCTGGCATGGCTGCTTCCCCCTCGCTGTTGCTAGGCCCTTGCTGTGGCCGCCTGGAACCTGCGCCACTGCCACTACCCTGCTGGGCTTGGGCCTGGGGTGGTCCAGAGGTGGTATTGGTAGTGGTGGTAACAGAGAGGAGAGCCCTGGCGCGGGATTTGTGCATCTGCACCAAGACGGGCCCAGCAGCAGTGGATGGGAGGCGGCTGCACCTGTCACCAGGTCCTGCTTTCGCCTGGCTGCTGTCACTGCTGATCATGGCCAGGGTGGGCAGGTCTGGAGTAGGTGCTGCAGGGGCCCTCACCCCTCATGGGACATGGGCTGGGGCCAGGGCTGTGCACTCAGCCCAGGGTTTGAGCAATGCTTGCATGGGTCCTGGGCAGCCTCCATGGGGTTGAGGCCAGCAGCAGGAGCTAGAAGGAGCCACCACCCCTGGGGATGCTGGGAAATGGTGTCCTACTGTGGAGCCACCCCAGTCCCACTGCATACCTGGGAGCAGCAGGACACACCACAGGCCGGATGGTGCCTCGGCCAGGCAGGGCAAAGAGACCTGCCATGGGCCAAATAATCCCTCCACAGGCTGTATTTTGCCCTTCTCTGCTTTGTGTGCAGTATCGCCTTATTCCCTGGGCCAGGAGCAGGAAGCGAAAGATGCTGGAGGCAGTGGGAATCTAGAGACCCTGGCTGCAGGGACTGGTGACCAGGTTGTCGGGGGTAGGATGTTGGCTGGGCATTAACCTTTTGCAGGCTGCATGCAGCCTATGGGTCACCAATGGATAGCCTTGTATTGAGTTAAAGGATCATTAAATAAAAATCATCTGACATCTGTATTATTCCCCTAGAAAGGCTTACAACTCTACTTAAGCCTTTAAGTAGACAAGTTGGTCACATTTGTCAAGTGACCAACTTGATGTTAATGATAAGAACCTAAACACTAGCTTCCTGTCTTATTTCTTACAATGATACTCTTCCTGTTCTGGATTATCTGCTCTCTTCAGCCTGCTCACAATTTATTGATTAGGAGAAGAGCAAATCTGGAGGCCCTGATAGTTAACAATCCATCTTCAGTTGCAAGATGGACTTTACAGGCTATTCTCTGGCAGGGGAATTACTTCAGAAAGAGGAGATGAGATGATAAAGTGATTTTTCCTTTTAACATGTGACTTAGCTTTGTTTCCTGGGATGTGCATTTTCCCCACAGAAGGGAATCTTCTCTTGCCTTTTGGTGTCTCCTACTTAGGGGCTGAGTTCTGCATAGCCAGACCCTCCTGCTCATCTCATGTGCCCTGTTTTGTTGGGGACCTCTGTCTGTGTTTGCTTAGAGTGGGCAGGCTCACCCACATCTTCCAGATGGCAGAGCATCTCCCCACTCTGCTCCAAAGAACCGTTATTTTATGATTTCTTTTGTCTTTGAGTAGGCAGCTAGAGACCATATCAACTGTTTCCTCTGACCTAAAGTTATACTACAGTTTTGCAACAGGAGGCCTTGTAATCTGCTCGATTTTATAAGACTAGTATTTTTTTTAAATACTTTGCCCATTCCTATGTTGATAGCTTTTTTTTATACAGATACCAACCATAATATATTTTTAGTCATGCACCTAGTATCATAGGGTGCCATTTTAGACAACTTTTTTTTTAAATAAATCATGTGTAGAGTTGAGGGCCATTATCCATCTGGAAAGTTTCAGGTATAGAAATTTGACTTATGCATAAACAAAGCTCTCTTAATACTTTTACTGTACTTGATATGTTCTTCTCTTGTGTAACTTACCAAGCAGGTGAATTGGTTTTGTTCAGAAAAGTAAGACTTCTACCTTACTGTAACCATGACTACTCTGTAAGTATACTGCTGGGTAGAGGAGAATACATTTTACATTAGGTTAAATTTTACTTGAGGTGGTACGTCTTTCTCCCCCTCCTCTATACATAATCATTTTTCACAAGCTGACCTTTTAAGCTGTTGAGCTTCTCAAAACTCTGTCATGATCATTAGATTATGCATGCCTGGCCCCTGATCTCCATTGCACTTTTTCTGGTGCAACACAGATGGACCATTGGTATGAATACATCCACTGCATTTCTCAGGTTTAAAAAAGAAAAATGAAACATTTTCATTTATGGAAAGTATTGCTTGGTGAAGTATAATTGTCTTCAAGTATTTGACTTGTAATTGGATAAACCTCTTGTCTTTAGTGTTTTTAGAGGGATGCATGCTGGTGCAAAGAATCTACAGCACTACATAGTAGGGCTGATGCTTCTGCATACATTGAACAGGAGCAAGACCTCTTCCCCCCCTTTGGAAGACTTCTTTTGAAAGAGGAATAAATCCAGAGACTGTCTGCAGTGGTACCTTAGAGGTTTAGTGTAAGGGTCCTGTTAAAGACTTGACAGGAGGTGGAAATAAATTATCCTTATGGCACTAAACTTCCAAAGTTCTCTTTAACATGAAAAACTTAAGCTTTGTTTGCCTTTTTTATGCCAGAGAAAGAGACATGGAGGTAATCCATATTAAAATCCTATCGTGTTCATGGAAGGTCTTTGTAGCAGCTAAGGAGAAATCTTGCAGTTTTAAGTTGCACTGAGAAATTGAGAGAAAAAGACAAAGGTAGTATAAAGGGAAGTTTTTGATAAGGTCTTCACATAGCCCTCTGCAAAGGCATCCAGAGTCTCTGAAATTTGCTGCTAGGTCCATGCCTTCTGATAAAGTTGCTGTTCCTAAAAGATAAATAATGCATTTTAAAACTGATCTCTAGTAGCATGCCTTGTGACTTTTGCAATTACCTTTTTTTAAAACTTCCTGTTAACAGTTGAATATCATATTGCTTGGGTGCAATAAACAGTCTTTTATATTTGTACTTTAACTTATAGGATAGGGAAGTTTCTCACAATGTAGATACTGTATTAGATAACAATAATGGAGACTGGAGGAAAAAAAAGAGGTCATCTTCTATTTCTTCATCTAAAGAATATGCATTTTGGCAGAAAGGGAAGGGGGCATGTGTGCACCCATGTGGTTTCTCCTCATCAACAAATATTTCCTAGAAAACAGATTCCAAGACAGTAATTGAAATAAAGCAATGGATGATGAAACTATGCAAGAATGTGCCACTGTTTTAAAAACCACAGCGTGATTCCTAACCTCTTGCAATCTGAACATCTGGGGCAGTGGCTTAATCTAAAAGGAAAAAAACAAACCCTTAAAGTTTTGAGATAACACAGTTTGGATGCAACATACCTAAGAGATGGCTTTGAATGTGTGTTTGTTTTTTTTTTTAACATTCATCTTAAAGTTGATAATAGCAACTCAAACTGTAGTATTCTTCTATTTCTTATAAAATCCATAGATAATTGTTCTTTGTCCTGGAAATTTTATCTAGGTATCTGTTCTGTATTCTGAATAAATTGAGACTGAAATGAAGGTTCTGGGATAATTTAACAATCAGGTGTGCAGAAATAATTTGGAAGTATGAATTTGTCACCCATGCCACAAAAGGGGGGTTATAGTATCTATCAATGACAGTGAAACTACACCTAGCAACTTCATATTGAGCTGTAAGTTAACAAAACTCTACCCTTCTGTCTGTTTTGTTGTATCCAAAGGTATGTGAAGGTTTTGGGGCTTCATTTATATTGGCATCCTAAAAATATATTAGTGGGCAGTTTTGCTGTGGCAGAAGTAAAGATGTCGTAAATATTGGCTCTTGAAACTAGCAAAGATCTGATAAACTTTCTTTGTGTGGGATTGTCCATGCAAGACTCTGGGTAGATATTGTTTCAGAGATAATTTATTCCCAAGCACATTTTTAACAGTTCTAGTTCTCCTTGTGTTGCAGATAATGTAAACTTATATAATGGCTTTGATTTCATCATTAGTAGCCAAAAAAGCGCAACGATTAGCTGCAGTACTGACAAGTAAAGCAGGCTAATTTGTGATTGGCACTTACTTTCAGATGGCCAGTATCTCTGGATCTGGTCCTTGTGATTTGAAGTGTTTAAAATCCGCTCTCATATTACATGTGTTCCAGCATATTTGCAGGACTATTTTTGGTATGTAATTCTGCTTCAAATTTCCACGCTAAAGCTGTTGTTTTGGTTGGTTCGTCTTTACTCATTCATTGAGAAATTGAGAGAACCATGGGCCCTCTTCTTGGTTTGT